GTCGGTGCAGCAAAACGGACATGCCCTTATGCTTAAGGTGCGTACTTTGACTGCATGTACCGGATTTAGGGGATAATCCTCTTGAAATGCTATTCGTACTTTGATTTGTAGGGAACCTTTCGTGTGACCGCGTCAAACAAAACGGCTCTGACGAACCTAAGTCCCCGAGATTGGCGATCTGTTTGGAGAGTTCTCAACTCAATGTTTTTTGTATAGAATATGTATTTTTTCATATATGATGCAATATTACTTTTAATACAAGTGACTTCGTCCGTATCGAACAAAATGTTACTATTTGGAGTTTTCGAGATAATTGCATCCTATCCATATTCGTACCTAACCGAACTTAAACTCAGCTGTACATATTGCTCGTACAATGCTGAAAAAAGCTCCCAGTCGATTGTTTTTAACATAATATTTCCGAAAATACCTGAATCGAACAGTTCGTATTAGAATATCTGTTAGAAACCGATGTAGTGTGCAATGAAAGATAATGCTGCTCCTGCAAACGGTGAATGAAATCTGTAGACACAATACCATGCATATTGACTTAACCTCAACATCACTGGTTTTCTTGATTTGCTAAACTTCAAAACTTCTTCGAGAACAGAGCGACTTCGTTTAGCTAGACAAAATCTTCCCCACTCTTCCATGAGTCGTTTTTTTTTTTCTCTATCTCCCATATTCTCAATCATTATTGAGGGTTTTTGATCTTATGTTTATGCTCTGATTATGCTTCTGACTTTGCCCTGATGTTTAGGCTCAGACTATTACTGTACCGGTACGACCTGATCAACAACCTACAAGTCTCACTTTCGATTTATCTTCAAGACCCAAACCTCAAGAGCTCTACACAAGAACCAAACGCGTCCGATATACGTACTGCTGTTAGCGATGTGTATTGCCATCGCGTCGTGTGATGCCGTATCTGCATTTGCCACTGAACAAGAAGGTGCCACTGCGCAACGCGCTGCTGCTGAATATCGTGGCACGTCTGGCAAACGGCTCTTAAGGTCTGACAATGCCGCGACTGTTGACGATGGCGTCAGTGAAGAAGAGAGGCTCTTCGGTGTGTCGAAGCTTACGGAGATGGTTAAGAAAGGAAAAACGAAGCTGATTGACAAGCAAGTGCTGTTACAAACCAAGCTGAAGGACAAGCAGTTGTTGCGGAGCTACCAACAACTGCTCAAGGGTGGGTTTTCGGACGAGGCCATCACCGGTGCGTGGTTAACGAGAGGGAAAAGTCTCGATGACATATTCGACCGCTGGATTCGACTCGGAAAGTCGGAAAGGCAGGCAGCCAACAACCTGCTGAAGCAGAACACGACACCAGACGATCTCTATTCGGTCTTTGCCCAACGAGGCATGAATTCGGAACAAATCCAAACGCTCTGGCGCAACCTCAAACTGGATGAGGATAAACTCATCGCCCTCCAAAAGAAGTTGGCACTGGTAAACTAATAGTGACATCAACGCAGTTAGTTAAACGCAGGAAAGAGTAGGGAGGACATTCAGAACGTGATCGACGACGGGGACTGTTTTGACATTTTCAAGCTTTTTTACGGCGCGAGTTTTGGGTGCAATTTACTCGTTATTACAATGCGAAATAAAGACATTACGCCTGGTACTTGTTGAAACTTTGTGCTGAAACATACTTCCAGTTCAGGTAAATAAAAGACGAGCCACTATGTGGTACCTATTCTCTCTCGAGTTCGGCGATTCGTTCCGTGCGTTTCGGCTCGTACAGCATCTGAATTCATGCCCCAAGACCCATTTTAGCAAACCAAACCAAGAATCCAAGCTTTTCTGGATCCTCTGTCACAGTAGGACTGAACCTCAATTTTGACAAGGTGGGGTGTAACTTTTGCGTCGTCAAGCACTGTGACCCGACCCCGATCCTCGAGTACCGTTCGAGTTCCTTGGACTTCTAAACTAAGATATCCCACTCGTCCCCCTTTAATTACAAAACAGTGTTAGAAACTATTTTTTTTTAACCTCCTAAAGCTCCAATAATTCAAGACAAAACCAAGATCAAAGTCAATTATGTGGCCATATATACGCGGCTATATGTAGTGCATGCTACGCATGAACAGTAAGATCCAGCCAGGTCCAGCTACAAATTGAAGACTACAGATCATATGATCTTCCGCGTATCGACAAATCCGCCTCTATTCGGAAACATCCTCCGTACCATAAAATCTCCGACCTCCGACCTCTCCGACCTGTACCAGAAAGCTGGCACATAAGTGTAGAACACATGGAATTTGTGTAAATGATGTGTTTGAGATTAGGGAACTAAAACAGTGATAGGAATACCAGAGAGCAAGTTTTGTGTCGAGTTTATAGGCGCCAGGAAATCGCCTGAAACGCTCTGTGAGCTGAGAAAAACGCGATTTTCTGTTTCTATGTAGTTTGATGCAACTTTGACTCAGGAGCACTGTGCTCTAGAGCCGATAAATTCAGAAATGAGCCCGGGATTTTTTTGATCGTCCGGATAAAAAAGATGCGTCCGGATAGTGTGAGTTGGGGACAGCCAGTCATGGCTGGCATTATTCTATTGGCTCGTTATCTACCAATAATACGACGACACTTGTCAGCAGGAACGCGACACTCAAATTTACTGGCTCACAGCGACACTCGCAGACCGACAGTCAGACTTGGAGATCAGTCTTCATTTTTTTAAACGCTACTGCGCAGGTCTCCTGCCTTCCTTCGAAGCGTTCGCAGACTCTAAAACCTTCAGAGTGCCCAAAAGGAGCTGCCCCCCCTTCCCATCTCCACGACAACGAAGCTCATTGGAAGAGCACAGAGTCTTCTCTGAGGTTGCTGGTTCGATTCCAGCCGTTGTCTCTCTTACGTATGCATGTATTGGCTTCTTGCTCGGTTACTAAACTACTGGCTCGA